CAGGTGGAAGAGGACCAGTTAATCCAAAGGGGTTACAATACTACAACAATCTTATTGATGAATTGATCACTCATGGTTATTAAATTTGTACCTTGATCCTGTTTAATTAGCTACATGACTAAAGAAATCGATCTTTGACCAGGAATCGAGCCACACGTTACACTGCACCACTTTGATCTTCCACAAGCCCTACAAGATGAGTATGGAGGTTGGCTAAGCCAAGAAAGCGTGTATGCATGATTAATTACTCTCCTTTCATCTTTCCTTTTTTTTTCGATCGGCGATACAAAAAAAGAACTGATTCATAAGTAATGAGTTGTAGGAGAGACTTCACAGATTATGCAGATACTTGCTTCAAGGAGTTTGGAGATAGAGTGACACAATGGACTACGATAACCGAAGCCAACGTGTTTTCCCTTGGAGGTTATGACCAAGGAATAACACCGCCTGGTCGATGCTCTCCTCCATTTGGACTTAATTGTACCAAAGGAAACTCTTCCATTGAGCCTTACATTGCTGTACACAACCTGTTGCTTGCACACGCTTCTGCTACAAACTTATACAAGAAACAATACAAGGTTCTTCTCTCTGTTTCTTGTTCTGTTTTCTCCATATACATTGTCTTTTAGCTCAAGCAAGTATCTTTCTCCTCTTCATTACACAGGACAAGCAAAATGGAGCAGTAGGCATTAGCGTGTACACATACGGAACTGTCCCATTAACTAACTCAGTAGAGGATAAGCAAGCAGCAGCTAGATTAAATGACTTCTTGATTGGTTGGTAAGTTTTAAAGAATGTTGAATCATCTACTATATTTTGATCACTTTGAGTTTCTTAATTTGGTTTTTCTTGGTAAGGATTATGCATCCGTTAGTGTTTGGTGATTATCCTGAGACGATGAAGACAATAGTTGGGTCTAGATTGCCCGCTTTCACGGCGGATGAGTCAGAACAAGTTAAAGGCGCATTTGATTTCTTTGGAGTGATCAATTACATGGCGATTTATGTCAAGGATAACTCTTCCTCTCAAACACAAAATCTCCATGATTTCACCACAGATATGGCCGTGATAATGATCCGTAAGTTATATGATTACCGTCGAAAATCAAAGCTAAAGATTTGATTTACTGATTGGTCTAATTTACCTTGCAGTGTATGGAAACACATCGTTCACGAGTGAGGTTTGCATACAGACTTCAATTCCATAAGACCATAAGTAGATCACTTATACTAATGTTTGATGATTTTGCTTCTTTTAGTATGCAAATACACCATGGAGTCTGCAACAAGTACTGTTGTATATCAAAGAAACTTATGACAACCCTCCTATCTACATCGCGGAGAATGGTCTCCACAAAACTCCACAAATTCATGTGTCAGATTCCAGTATAGTTCATGTGTCAGATTCCAGTATAGTTCATGTGTCAGAAAACTCCACAAACATCACTTGAGGATACAACGAGGGTTCAGTATCTGAGCTCACACATTGAAGCAGTACTTCAGTCACTCAGGTAATATACGCTAATCAGAGTAGTAGAAAGCTCCATGAATGTGACAGATTCTAAGTTTAAAGATCTCGATTCTCGAAAAGCAGGAAAGGATCGAATGTAAAAGGGTATTTTCAGTGGTCGTTGTTGGATTTGTTTGAGCTATTTCGTGGGTATGAGATGACCTATGGATTATATTACGTGGACTACAAGGATCCTTATCTTACGAGGTACCCTAAACTCTCTGCTCATTGGTACTCTTCTTTCCTCATGGGAACACTTCACCATCAATCGCATGCTTCTTCATCTTCAGCTCTCTGATCAATTTGATTCCCCAACGATTATGTGTTTCTATCCAATAAATCTTTAAAAAAATGTATTGTGTATGTTCAAAATAATCCCTTAGTTAGGCTCTTGCCGACATGTGTCTTGCGTCTGAGCAACATGTCTCGGGATTTTAATTGATCCGATTTATCTTATTTAAAATTTTTTTTTACAATGATTTCATTATGGGAAATTATTCTTAATTCGTTGGTTCTTCAAAAATAATTCTATAAAACTCTCTTTATCGATTCATTCGGATTAACATAAGAGCTGGATTTAGCGTGTATGACCTAGATTTACAATGTTGCGTAAGAAGTAAGAAACTACACTTACGTATAAAAGACATACTAAGACCTATTATTCCTAAGGTGTCTTTTGCATTCCATTCAGGCAAGAGACGGATGCTTTCTCATCAAATCCTAAATCCATCAATTTTTTTTTTACTTGTTTATTACACAATTGTTCATTTGTTATTAAGTTATTGTACGCATCAAGTTATTAACCTTTGTAATAGAAAAATCTTTGACTTATTAGATCTCATTTTCTTTTTTCTTTGAAAACTTCAATCCCACTACTACAACCAGCCGAATTGAATAAAGCATAAAACAATGAGCAGTAGTAAATAATCGGTGTGCCACTTTCCAAGATACTTTTGTCGATATGTTGGAACTTTTCTTAAAATAAACAGTGATATTTTGCACCATTCGAAATACTTATATGTTTAGCTACCGAATAAGTTGATCATTTTTTTTTTTAATGAATAAATTCTTTAGTTTATTGTAAATAGTAAGATATCTAGAATTGTAGATAGAAACGTTCAAACTTAGAAGAATAGCCATTTGTAAAATTAATGACATTATGTTATCATATTACCTCATTATGTAGTAAGACTTGCAATTCATATAAATTTCTACTAAACAATTAAATCTGCAAGGGTATAGTACATCACAATTACACCATTG